TTGAGTTTATTTATTTATTTATTTATTTAATTCATTTATTTAAAATACAATTTGATTTTAATCTTATATGTTTATATAATTTCACATATTCCTATCCGATTTGAAATTGTCTTTTTGTTTCGATATTTAAATAATTTTTAAACTTGATAGCCATTATTTAATTAATTTAACTCAACTTAGTACTCAAATCTTAGATACACTTGGTATTTAAATTCGAAGTAGATGCTAATTTGTTATTTAAATACAATCTGTTGAAATAATTCGTTCTCACTTATCTAAGTTCAGTTTTTATAATTTTTCAATTTCACTACAGCTGCTTTTTTCTGTACTTATTAAATAAAATTATATCTTATAGTTTTTTCTATTTTGTGTTACGAGATGAATTTTACATAGTCACTGATAGCTTGTCACATTTTTTTTCTAAGAGATCGTGCGACCTCTTTTTGGTCATTTATTCCTCATTTTTTTATGTTTAAAATGAAAGCGAAAAAGATAAAGATTTTTTCAAAGAAGAGAATTTTCAACCAGTTAACATTCAATGTCTGTTCCTCCCTAAAAATTCTTCGAAATTTTAAATTATGCTTATATAATTCAAAAAAAAAAATTCAATCCGATAACATCCTCCGGATAGTAATACTCTGAAATAACTCTATTTTAATAGTAATTAAACTGAATATATAAAATAAAAGCTTATCTAATTAATCCTACAACTCAATATGTTTTATATCTAAAGAAATACTGTGAATTTACTCACAAAAATAGTTTAGTCATAATTTTTCTGTCCGCAAATATATATAAATAAATATTTGCATATTAGTCCACTAAAATTGTATGTGTCAAAAAGTAACAAGAAAACTGGAAAAATTTGCATGAAATTTTCTTGAATAATATGGAAGATTTGGGAAAAATTTTTATGCAAATTTTGCAAAATTTGAGGGAATTCTAAATAAATTCCCAAAATTTTGTGCAAATCTGAGAAGTGCGACCTGTTCTTTTCTCTTTTTTGCGATCCAAAAAAGAAAGGGCAACACGAAAAATTATGCTATCATGTAATCAATAAATCGTTTCTGCATGTATTCTTCAATGGAAGTATTATAAGCTTCTTCTAATATCCACATACACACATACACGCACACACACACACACACACACACACACACACA